GCTGTAACCATGGGTTCGGAGGCCCTCCACAATCTCCCCACCCTCCATACTCCTCCGCCCTCACCTCCACCCCCCACCCTCCAGCCAGGCTCCTTCAGCTCTATTCCTCACCCACATGAGGTGTCGCCCACCTCTCGCTGGCCGTCCCTCCCTCACTTCCTTCCATCTCCAAGAAGCACTGGGGACTTTGGCTGTACTCGGTGGCACTGCCCAGCCCACCCTCCTCACCCCTTGCCACACCTCATTTTCCTCAGGACTCTGCGCTGGCCCCAGATCCATCGGTGTGCACTGTCTGTCTCCTGGAGTTTGTCTCCAAGGTCCTTGAGGACAGAGATGAGGCCTCGACCCTTTGCCACTGTATCTCTAGGTGCCTGGCACATCATAGGTACTCAGTAAAAATATATTGAACTGCAACAATGACATCACCAGCCAGGTGGGTATTTTTTGCCCTCTGAAGGCCAGAGAGAGCCAAATACGAAATGTGCAGCTTTGAGGGTTGGTGAGTGAGTCCTCAGCCATGGCTTGACTCACGTGAGTTAGGACAACTCATTGAAGGAAATGTCATAGTAAATACTATGGTCTTTGGGGGATCCTTTCAAGTGAGAGAACCTACAAAACCAAGCTCAGTGCTTTGTGTGTATGGTTTCCAGGAAAAGGAGCATTCTAGCCCAGCGGGTGGGTAGAGCCTGACTGCTAACCATTTCCTGGCTCTACCACTCACTGGCTGTTCCACCACAGGCTTCTTCTTTGTGCCTCTCTGAACATTTCTCATATCTCTTTTATGTTAAGTGATTCCCTGCTTCCCAGCCACTGTCTGATTTCCCAAAATGTTAACCCATTATGATTGGGCCACTGTGGGACCTGCCAGAGGCGACTCTGTTCCCTTATGTGCTAAGAACATTATGCATAGGTTTTATGAAGGAGGACTTTTTATTTGCTTTCTAATTTATGGTTTGAGGTTTCTGGATATATAATTTGTAGATGATTTATTTAATTTGTTTTCCCGAACTACTAGAATAAAACCCAAAATATACAAGTGAGCATGATATATCCTTATGTCAGCCATGAGATACAAGTAGGATGGTTTAAAAAATCATTCGCAGAGCATCCTTTAAATTGAATGATACAAATTGAATGATACATGTGTGGACCACTAGCTGTACGTGTTTATTTACATTTAAATTATTGGAATTAAGCAAAATTTAAAATTCAATTCTTTTCTCTCATTAGTCATACTTCAAGGGCCAGAGGACCACATGTGCCCTGTGGCCTCTACGCTGGACAACATGGACCTAAAACATTACAGCGTTACAAATGTTCATCAGACAGTGCTGTTCTAGAAATGACAGATTCGGCGATTCGGCCATCTTTTGAAGAGACAACACCATTCCACATAGCTAATGCCGCTTTCCAGGTCAATTCCAACTGAGTTTACAAACCCTTTTCTGGAAAAAAGCTGGAACTCCATTTTTTGCCCTTATCCTACTTTCTTTTTCTCAGTGCCAAGCTTTACCACTATTACCCTACAAATCCACTTTGCTTCTCTCTGGATCAGTGGGTTTGAACATCTTCTGGCAGTCAAACCACTCGGGAATCTCCATCTGCTCTAACCATCCTGAGAATAGAATGAACGATGGCTTACGGCTCAGAAACCCTCTAATGTCAGAGTATCATGGTGTCTGAGAATGTGAAGGGTCTTAGAATCTCTTTAAAGGCAGCTCCCTGCTCCTCTCCACCATTAAGTATTTTTGGTTGAACATAGGGGCACTTTGCCACTGAACTACATTCCCCATCATCTTTGCCTTTTATTTTTGAGAAAAGGTCTTGCTAAATTGTCGAGGCTGGGCTCAAACTTGTTAATTCTCTTTCCTCAGCCTCTTGAGTAGCTGAATTAGAGGAATGTGCATCATGCCTGATATCATTCTTCAAACTTCTCATCGCCTCCACCACCCAATCCTTGAGCCTGCTCATCTGGTGTTATTTAGGCCCTGGGCTGGGCAGAGTGCTGCAAAGGTAAGTATTTAGGAAAATGAGGCTTAGCAAGATTTAGTAACCTGATGACTATCTAGTTAGTGTTGGAGCCAGAATTTAAATCCAATTCATTAGGCTTGACAGCTTCGGCTTCCCATCCTAGCAGATCACCATGCTGCTGCCTGTGGGTCTCAGGTCACCAATCCCCCCTACGAATTGGCTTTCAAGATCCAGACAGAGTCATTCTTGCCTTCTGTCTCCCTATGGTAGAGAAGATGAGCAGTTCTGAGTCCATTAGCAATATTTCCCAGCATGGAGACTACTTGAGTATTTTGAAAAGCTGAAGGGACTCTCATACAGGTCATTCTAAAGCCATTGAACTACCATTAACCAAGTCAATACTTGGAAGTTGTTTGTGCCCTGACACTATTTAGAAAACACTTTGAATTGCACATAAATTGTAATATGGGGAAATTTTCTAACTTTGACAGCCTTTTGTGAGATTTAAGTATTTGACTTGTGTGTTTATAAACATTTGTAAAAGGCAACTCCCTTTAGATAGCAGTTAGCTAATGGAGAGAAAAAGCAAATTGATACAATACAATTGACAGTCATTAAAAAGTCCACACTCTTCCTTTATTTGCTTTTATATTTTACATTCAAATAAGTGACTTTTATGTGGATAAAGGCAAAGAAAAGGAAGTTTGTCTACATTAAATTATCCTTAGGAGAAAATTTGATTTGAAAAACCATTAGCAAATTGCAGTTACTGGGAACTATTGCTGTTACGCTGAACTATCTTTCAGAGCTCAGAAATGCTTTTCTAATGTTCCCTGGAAATGTTAACCAGATTATACTGGTAGGCTTCTTTCAAGAAGGCTCTCTGCCATTGTCACACCAGTTCTTACTAACGCTGAGCAAGGTGAACTGAAGATCTACTGGCAGGATGTGAAAAGGCAAAACGATCAAGAGCAAGGGCCGAAAGGAGCAGCATACACTCCTGCATTGACCAGCACACTGGATTCTGCCAGGAAATGTTCACTCAAGCCCAGGTGGGCTCAGACCACGGCTGGCTTGAGGATATCCATCAATTTTTTAAACTAGTTTTGTCTTTTTCTAGGGCAAATATTCAAGGCCCATGTCGAAGGCTTTATGGGCATAGATCATTGTGAGATAAAGGATTTCATCACTACCCCCTCCTCTTCTTCTGGGCCAAACATTGTGAAACCTGAAATATCAGGAGCCCGGTGATCTTTCTGGGGTGATATAAAAAGAGATGACCCAAAGCCAGCTCCAGAGATGCCCTGGCACTATTTTAGGTGTTAAATCTTCTCATTATCTTCCTCTCCAGGAACTGCTCATCATCTGGATGCCCTAAATCTAAGCATAGTGAGTCCCCCCCAGCTATAGATGGCTCCCCATATCATTTAAGTTTGTGAGTCAGTGGAAACCAGAGCTCTAAAGTCTCTGTCCAGGACTCTCCCTGGGTAAACTACTAAGAAGAAGGCAGCTTTGCCAGATGTTTCTGTCCAGGTGTCCTGACTGAAATGCACAAGGGCATCTGCTTACACTCAGGCCTGGCATGAGGAAAGAGCCCTGGAAGGTGCTGAAGAAGGGTTGCCCTCAGTTTTCCTGCCATAAACCATGGACAACAGGCAGCAGAGGACGTGGATGGACCCAGCTGCTAAGAAAGCCATAGGGAAGCAATGAGCACCTGAAACCAAGCAGGTGAAAAGATGTGAGACGTTCCCCCTGCCACTGGATCTGGGCTCCCTCTTGGGCCCAGCAGGCTGAATAAGGTGTAGTGGAAGGCACCTCACATCCCCATGGCAACCTGAACTTAGATACATGGATTTACACTTTCCAGTGACCTGGCTCTCAGTTTCTTCATCTGTAAAATGGAAAAAAACAAAACAAAACTGTTCTTGCTCTGCTTAGCCCATGGATGGCCATAAAGCATATAAAAGCACTTTGCAAATTGTTAGAGAGAAAGTCAGGTCAGGTTCTTTTCACTATAGAATGTTTATTTCCAACCAGAAACTTCTTTCCCAACTTACAAGCTCATATTTTCAACAATCTTGTCTAAAGGTTTTTCCAAATGGCTGATAGGTGTGTTGCTGCCCCCTGCCCCCCCGGCCTTTCAAGAAGCTAGATGGGGCCTGGCATGGCCAGGGAGCTTAGAGCCATGCTGACCCAGCTACAGAAGCCTCCTCCAGAGAGCTGAACACTGCTTTATATAACATTTCCAACAATTATCTACCTGGTGTTCAGACCAAGTTTATAACCAAGCGAGCCCATGCTCTTGGTCTGCAGGCCTGCACCTGTGGGCTTCCCTTTTCTGTCAGTGATGACCACCACCAACACACTTTTCAACTCTCCCATCTTACTTATCACCAGTTTTCTTTCTCTTCATGTATCTTGGAGTTCCACAGACCAGGCTAGATTGACTTAGTCATGTGACCCAGGAGAACTTTCTCCTCTAGGCTGGGGCTTGCTGTTCTCATCTGTGAAGTGAGACTTTGTGATGTTCAGAACTGTCATGGGAATTAAACAGGTTGTGTTTACCAAATACAGGATACATGTGAACTTGTTGGTTCTACCTTCCAGAGATATCCAATAATGCACAACCCTCTCACATCTTCAACTCTATTCTTCACCCCCAATTTCTGCCTATCAAATTATATGTGTCCTTCACATATCAGCCTCCAAATGCCTCCTACCTTTGGCATCTAGGGGCAAGGATTATTTCCACTGAACTGTAAACAATTTTTGCACATTTTTTCACAACTCCTGAGGCATTTGACATCATCACTAAGTACTCGACTTTTGTATATATCACCTCTTGTGAATTTTCATGTTCATTTTCCTTACACAACCTATTTACTTAAAAAAAATAGTTTTTAAATGACTGAAAGGAACCATCCATCCACTCATAACCAATGACTGATGCCCAGACCTGGCAGGGGACAATGGAAAGTGATTCAGAAGTGATGGAATGATTCAAACAAAGAGAAAAACACCAAACACACTTTACATTTTGTGTGCTGATTTTTTAATGAACGTCTTATAATCTTACAAAATAACTGGCTGTAGCTGTTTTACGTTACAATACAGTAGATCAGCTCCTTTCACTATGTTTTCAATCAAACTGTCCCCTTGGGTGCTGACTGACACACTCAATAGTGATCACACAGAATAGAAGTGTCAAGTCCAATGCTGTACAGTGGAGGGATGGGAGGGGGCATCGAGAAGGGCTCCTGATGTCCTTTCCTGTTGGGCTCTGTCCATTCTCCCCACTCTGACCTCTCCTCTGTCTCTCTCTGATTGGAGGCTGCCATGCTAGTCATTGGAGTCAACCAGCCCTAGGCAACCTGGGCACTAGTGCCCCTTACTGTTAGGAAAAAGAAGAGACAGAGAGTGATTTTGGAACCAAGAAACAGAAGAGTCCCTGGGAAAGGCCTTCAATGACCTCATGGGTGGGTAAGAGCAGCAGAAAGACCAACAAATAGAGCAAGTGTGAGTTGTCCCTGGGATCTGTGGCCATGATACCAGTCCTTTGACTCTCGATGACCTAAGGTGCTCACAACACTTGGCCAGTGAGAAGGACTGGGAGAACCTGCCACCTCTGAATGCCCACAGCTGACTATGGCTGCGCAGCCTCAGCCTCAGCCTGCTCACACTGGGAATTGTCCTCTCTATTTCCCAGGGCGGTGGTGAGTAAATTGCAGATGTTACCAATAGAGAGCAAAGTACTTTAAAATGAAGTATAGGACAGAAACCTTCTCACCATTAGTCTTATGGAGAGATGAATCCCAGCGCCTGCTGGCCCGATTCACAGGCTCCTTGTTTCTTATTGGAGGTCAGGTCTCCCTGGGCTGGGTAACGCCCAAGATAACGAGGACTCTGCCTCAATAGCAAGAAGGATTGCCCACAACAGAGCTTGACATGTGTCGAGAAATTTGGATATTTTCCCCAAGAAAACAATTTTGCAAAGCGTTTGTGTGTCTGTGTGTTTAAATGGAGAACCTAAACTTTTCCATTGTCCTTTCCATATTAAAACCTATCAGGACTATTTCTTGTCTTCCTTGGGGCACCAAGGGTGACCTAGGCAGTGAGTGGTATTTAGGCTACAGTTACCCTAGTGGCTAGAATACTGGGGACAAGGGGTTTTTGGGTGGGCAAACTCTGCCCACCACTTCCCAAGGCCTGCAGCCTTTGTTCCACACAACACAGACCGATGTGTGCGGACTGCTCTATCCTCATTTTTTCCATTCCTGATATTATTTCTTGTGCTGAGCATGGATAAGATTTTGATAGTAGTGGATCATGTTTTCCTTTTCTTGTTTTTTGGAAAGCCGTTGCTTCAGTGTTGATGGGAGGAGTAGAAGACTTAATCAGAACAGAAAGCAATGGTGTAGAGGCCATGGCTGAACTCTAAGGTTTGCCTGTTCCTGGTTTTCCCTGGAGAGGAAACTTTGAAGGAAACAGGCTCAAGGCCCTTCCTAAGGTAAGACTGAGCATTGAGTAGAAATTGGCTCCTTCCTCTCTTTCCCCAAGGCCTAACCCAGAAACTATTAAAAAAAAATAACTACCACAGGCCATGTGCAAAAATAAAAGAGTCCAGGATGCAAAGAAAGGCAGGGCCAATGCAATCACTCCATGTGCTATCCATCTATCCACCAGGAAAGGAGAAAGACAACAAAATGGACCCTAAATAGTTGAAATTCTTCTTTCTCCCACAGAGTGTCAGCCTTGCTCCATGTTGTTTCCATGGCTTGCCCAATTGAAATCTCTGGTCACAGGTTTTATGCACCCACTTGAATAAAATTCATTGCAGACCCCGCAATGCTCAAAGGATCCACTGTGAACTTTGGAGTCTTGGAACAAGGACCAAATTTCCTTGACTTGTTCCATCCTGTCACTCTTGGCCCTGATTTAACCTGACCCCTCACCTCTCCATGGCCTCCTTTGGCTCCTTCATCCCCACCTGTTCTTCCATCTCTTCCCATCCTTCTCCTGGGTCATTTTTAAAACGTTTTCCCCTGCAAGATCAACAGCTAGTGATGTGGGTGTGCATGATGAACAGGCTTGGGGAATTCTAACAAAGAGGCCAAGTACAAAGCGTGTGAGTTTCTGTGATCCTGGTGCTCAGAGGATGAGCCTGAACACAAACTTGCTGACCAGCTGGTAGATGGCCACATTGGAATAGGCACATATGAAAGTGCAGAAAATCCAGTTGACAGTTCTGAGAATTGGGGAGGAAACACTACATTCTTTTTTGATAGGTGCTTAAGAACCACTGCCTTGTTCCCCTGGACCCACCCCCAGTGGGTGTCACGCCCAACTTCCCATGCCGTTTAGTGCTATCATTCCAACTCCCATCCCCTTTAAGTGGGCCCAGCTCCCAGGGCATAAAAAGATGATTAGCTGGCACGCTAGCATACAGAATCCTATCTGATCTCCCTCTCCTCCACTTCCCATTTAACCTGCCAATCCCTACACATAGAAATATGGCAGAAGAACTTGTGTGTCTGTCCTCAAAGCCTCAGCATTCATTTTGGACATGAACTTCACAGCAGCATGTGTGGAACAATGGGTAATTTTCAGCTTAGTAAACAGCAAAAAAATATAATATATAATATATTTATATAATTATGTTTAAATACTTATAAAGAATTATTAACTAACCTCATTATTTAAGAGAGACTACACAAAAGGAAGGGAAAGGCCAGTTTAGAGCAGACAAGCCCTGAAAGGTGACAATCCATTTGAAATGGGCATTGACAGAGTGTCCCTGGCAAGTTTCCTTCTAGCATTCTGATAATGGATTACACGTTTGGTGGGGCTGAGCAGTCAGTGGGGTGCAGAGTGGGGAGTCAGGCAGGAGCTAAGGTGGGTGGACTAGAATATTGATGGGGAGGAGGGTCCTTGTTTATCTATCTGATTTCTCCTTCCTCTTTTAATCAACTGCCAATTTAAAGAAACTTTTGCCTATAATTCTTCCCTACTTGGACTAGTTGATATGTTAGTTGACACCTATAGATATCCTCTCGTGTTTCTCAACAGATGGTCCACACGCTCTCTTCCTCCACTTGGTGACCTTTCTCCTTCACCTGCCCTGTGTTTCCTCCTGTGGAGGCCTCTCACTCTGCCTGCCTCCAGGGCAGAGGAGGGATGGGCTCAGTCCAGGTCCCACAGTTACTGATTTTCTTCTGCCTTGGGGTCTCGGCAGGTGCACTCATCCTGGTCACAGTCAGCAGCAAATGGAATGACCTAGGGGAAGGAAAGAGAAGTTGAAATAATGGGTGTGCGTGCCAGGTGCCACATGTTTCCACTGGCTTCCACGGTTCTCACTCGGTCCTGGAGGAAGTAGGATCACAATTCAGTATCACAGAGCTGGAATGAACCCTCAGTTCTCACACACCATGTCATTTCAGACAAGATCGTCCTTCTTCACTTTGCTTTCTCCATACAGAGAGTGAGAAGGACAACATAAACAGAGTGTGTGGTTTAAGTGAACTGATGGGTGTGAGATGCTCATCGTGGCCAGACACCTAAAGTGACTACTTCTAATGATACCTCGTATGTCTTACACTATTGTTTTTGTTGCTGTTAACATCGTCACAATATTCCTGTGTGTTGGAGGGATTGATGTTAGCTCATTCCCTCCTATGGAAGGCAGGGCTACCTGCTTTAACTCAGGACAGTGGAAGGACTATGTGGAAAGCCAGCTCTGGAGATTGTCTCTCTGGCTCCACTCTTCAGTGGTCTTGGGACACTAGGATCATCTTTGACATTTCTGAACACATGAAGTCTTGCTCTCCTGAGCCCAGGATATGCTTTGGCATGGTGCCACCCACTCACTCTTTGTGGTGGTATTGCTTCCTTTCGTGTAATTCTCCCTTCTTTGTGCCAGGAGTGGTCAAGCAAAAGTTGTCTTCTTCCTGCTTTCACTGATACCAGCAGATGAGTGCCCTATTTGAGTGTCTATAACCAGCATCAAAGAGAACTGGACATTTTGGAAACATGGTGTAAAAGATCAAAATGCATAAATGCATTCTACTGTCATGTATAACTAATTAAAACAAATAAAAATTAATTTTAAAAAGTTAGATATTTTACCCTCTGGCCACTGGCAATCAAATGAGATAAAATTGAATAGACATATCATATACAAGACTGGTCCTAGTACACTGGAGAGATGGGCTCGGGATTGGGCAAGTGGATTAGAGAATGGGTGGGGTTGTTTGGGGAAGTATCCCAGCATATTTGCACAAATGAAGTAAAGTGTGTTGTAGTAGTCAACAGAGGGGGTGTTCCTCTACACTCCAGTTCTTGTGAGTGACAGGCACTGACGTCCATTAAAGATAAGTCGTAGGTTTGCAGAGTGAGAGGGGGAGAGCTGCCTGCCTTCTTCCTCCAGAATCCAAGCTTCCTGTATAAGAAAGATGGTCTCTGTCCACAGTTATTTTCACAAGATGGAACAGAACCAGCTGGCCTGATTTCTGACCTGTGGCCCAAGCTCTTGACCTGTTTGTCTTAGTTCAGGATTTATTGATTTTTAGAGCAAATGAGGGCCAAATTGAATAGTGATATGATGAGCCCCTACATGCTTTGTACTGAATAAGTTAGTTCATTTAAATGGTGAAAATAGTGCCCAGCACACAGAGATTCAGCAAAATATATTAGCAAAGAAAGAGAAAGTATTCAGATCCACATATAGGTGACCTTGGTAGGCGTGGCTTTATTGTGGAGACAGGTAGGAGGGAGGAAGGAAATAATGGCTGCATTTTTCTGATTCATCAAGCTCGCCAACTAGCTTCAAATATCTTCAGAGCACTTGGATTTTCACCTATTTTATTATAAAATTTCAGCCTATTTAATTTTATAGACTTCACTTGAGCCTGTCTATAAATTTAACAGAGCCAAGCATAACAGCAATCAGAGGTATCAAGAAGGGGATTACGACTGTGGTCTGGTTCAGAGAGCACTCCAGGTGGTGCTCAGCAGCTGATGAACATGTGCCTGCAATACCGCTGTATGACGCCATCTGACTATTAATTTAATTATGAAGATGAATGATAGAGGGGAAGCATTTCACTGGTAACCTAGTATCCTTAAGGGCTAGAAACCATTGTTTTTCCTGCCTACAGAAGAATTTCCCGGACAATGATGAGCAGATATGAGAATTTCATTAGAAAAAGCCATTGCATTTATGATTGACAATTTAAAGGACTGGTGTTTTCTAAGACCCTATACTAAAGACTGTTACCCTCAATCTTGTCACTTTAGACATTCCAATGTTTATAACTTCTAATGTCATTATCATTCTCTTGGGGATTAAAACATCAAGTCTGCTGCACTGTGAAGCAGAGCTGGCCAGAGAACCTGCCTTCCTTCCACTGTCCCCATGCTGTCCCCAGGCACCCTCACGTACCTTCTTGGAGGAGAGTGTAGAAGAGCAGCAGTCTCCTCCATCATAGTGGCAGTAGGCCCGGTTGTTGATCGTGTCACACCAACCATCTGCTTGAAAAGGCTGTAAGGAGGCTGAGGTCAGAGTCCAGTGCAGTTTTGCTATCTCTGGCCCTCTTTCCCACTCCCCGACCCCAGCCCCCCATGGAGCTCCAGAGAGACTATGGATGAGCACCTCAGGAGCAGGACACATCCTCAAGAGGTGGAAAAACCTTGAGATAAGACCATCGGGCCTAAGAAATTGTCAGATTGCTCTTGCAGAACCTGCTCCTGGCCTACTGTAAGGTCTGGGATACTCATTAAATTCCTTGATCAACTTTTTTGCCTTCTTATAAATACTAGGTCTTTATAATATGTAGGTTACAAAAAGGTTCACACATTTTAGCTTTGTTGACCTCAGAAAAGGTCTGTGTATTAGACAGGATTCGCTTTAAAAGTCCCACTTTGTCAGTGAGAAACCAGGGGTGCATAGAGATGATAGGAATCGTCTGGTCACACAGCTAGCAGCTGGGCTCAGGCAGCGCTTGGCACATAGCTTGGCTTTCTGCAGCTCCTCCCACCTTGAGAACCACAATCCCCGGCCTGTCACCTGGTGTACTCAGGACTGGTGCTTAGAGACTCTAGCAGTCCTTGGGTGTTCTAAAGACTGCAAGGATGTCTGTCCGGAGTGCAGTGGTCCTAGGGTTGAGGACACCAGGGCTAGCACAGGAATGTTCCCACACACGCAGCCACCTGATGCCCAGCAGCTTGGCCCAGGGTTAGAGCAGAGAAAGTGAAACTGTTTCACTCACTGCTGTTACTGCTGCCAGTTAACAGGAACCAAAATGGGAAAGGGGCCCAGAAGAAACCAGAGTTAATGGAGTGTTTCACCCTCGAAGGGAATGTGTGATAAGAACAGCAACGAGCAGTTACAAATAGCTCAGCAGCCCACAACTGCCTCTCCAGGGAACCACCTCTGAGGGGAGCACGGCCCACAGCACCCTGGGCGGCAGGCAGGCAGCCCACCTTCTCAGGTGCAGCAGCTGCTCACTGTCCTGAGCTCACGCCCAACTGTAAAGCCTCAGCGCACATCTCGCACACAAACTGTTTGGGTCACAAAACTCTGGGATTCTAAGGTCACCTCCCAGTTTCCATGTTCAAATCACTTTCTCTCCCCGTGGCCTCCCTAAATGTCAAATAGAAGGATTATTCCCTATTTCACTGGGCTTTGATGAGATAGATCACTGAACTCAGAAATGATCATTAAATAATTTTCAGCAATTGAGCTATGTCAGAACAGACTCGTCCCAGCGATTACTTCAACGTTTTGATGTATTCGGTGGGGCCCTGAGCTCATTTGCACAGCCCATTCCACATGCAGACCAGGTTGCCAACCTCTGCGAAGCTGCTGCGCTTGTGTGGAGCACAACAGCTGCTGCACATCTGTATGGCAATGTCAGCGGAGAGCAGGAAGTGAGAATGAATTCTGTTTTCAACACAGGGCGCTCTGGGATGCAAGACAAAGATTTCGAGATGGGCGTTTGTCTTTAACACTGGAGCCTGTCCCTACAGTTCTGGAGAACTTGGACTAAATGTACATTCAGGACTTGGGTCCAAACTTGCAGCCAAATAGTCAGAGTTAAAATACAATTGGCACATCCTGTGGATGCTCTTGGATCCTCCTGGGAGGACCAGATATCTGCTGAGATTCCCCAGAGTTTCCTAGGCCTTTTTCAAGTGTTTAGAGAATATTTTTCTCATCTAACACTACATCTGTTTCTTTTCCTCCTACCTGGACTGACACATTGACAAAAACTTCATCTGTTCCTTTTTTTCTTTTCCATGTATTTTTCTATAAAAATTTAAAGAACATCCAAAACAGTTTTCTTATACACATGTAAGTATGTTCTTCAAATGGAGAATTAAAGGTGAGTCTAAAGATGTCTTCCTTTTCATAAAAACAACCTTCACTTTGAATGGGTTGAGTAAGGAATGCCTGGAAATCTTGATTTGCAGAGGCCTCACCACAGAGGGCTTCTTATCGCAAGAACACTAGGGAAGGTATTTTGAAAAGGGCAGTCATGGTCAATGTGAGCTTTTCTATGTCCCATTAGACTTCTACTGTGATGATCCCAAATGATTTCTAGAAGCTCCTTCTTTTCAGCTTTTAAATGATCATTTGGGAAGAGAAGAAAATTTATGAAAAGGAGCAGAAATTCAGAGAAAAGGTTGAAAAGACCCATGTATTTAATGTACTCTATACCTATTAGAATTAATTGCTCCTCCCCAACCTGCCAAAATCAACCACTCCACCCTCAACAAACAGAGTCTCCTATGGCAACATGTGCCTGGGACTCTTGACAGCTTGAGTACAAAGTTACAATGGAAAACTAGGAGGGAAAATGACTAATTGATCCAAAGTTTGAAAGCCTCTGAAGACTGGATGTAGAGTAGGAGATTCCAACCTCAGTGACTGCAAGGTGTTGGATCTGGGCCACCACTGCTCCCAGGAAACATCCCGAGGGAGGGTCCTGGGCTTGCTCTCTAGGCACACTGTGTACGTGGCTGAGTTTCGCCACACAAACATATGCTTACTTTTTCCCATAACACCAAGTGCATTTTTCAAATACCTGAAACTTATTCTTTATGGGCCCCTTTTCCATTTTTATTTCAATTATCTTGATAAAGGAAAAAATGTTTAGGAAATACCTGTTTATCTGCCTTTTAACCACTGAGAGTACACATAGGCATCAACACAAAGACTGTTATTTTCACTGCACGGGAAAGCTCTCCTCTTTCCTAAATGTGCCTCCTTAACACACACACACACACACACACACACACTATTCAGGTCTGATTTATCTTTGAGGCAAACATTCAAGCCCTTAGAATTATAACTCATTTAAATATCTAAATCTGAGAGACAGCCTGGGCTGCCCTTCTTGTGGGGCATGAGCTTCAGGAGACCTGTCTCAATTGTCACAGGAAGGCCTGTCATGCCAGCCTCCAGAGTTAGCTGTGTTCCAGGACGTCAAGGTGGCCAAATGGATGGCTGTGTGTGAATCACGGCGCACTTGCAGGAAAGGCTCTCCGTCCACACTACCTGTACCACTTTGGAAACTTCCCAAATGTGCACATAATTTTGTCTTTATGTATTAATGCTATTCCCACAGCAGAGCATCCTTATAGCAGGGCAAGGGCAGCCCCTTTGGCCCAGTGGCAGTTCCTATTTTAAAGCTTCTTTGTCATAAGGTGAGGGCAGAGATGGTGTCCTCTGTGATGCCTGTGGTTGTAGCTATTCATTTAATCTCTCTGTGTTCTTTACTCTGTGCCTACATGGGTGAGGTACTAATATGGGGACACGGAGATAATTAAAACATGCTTCTGCCCCTTGAGGAAACCCACTGTAAGAAATTTTAGCTAAGTGTGGTAGCTCAGAGCAAGCATCAAGAAGTGGAGAAAACTTAATTGGGGTCTTGGGGGTGGGAGAGTCTGCTGTCAGAGGTTGGTTCTGCCTAGGGCTGGGAGATTCTGAAGAGGAGGTGGTCTAAGAGGGAGGAGAGGATGAAAATAGAGGGGCGGGGGAGTCCCAGGCTGCCCATCCCAGAGCCCACCCTCAGGGAAGCTCCTCAAACTTTGATTGGCTAATAAAGCCGCCCTTACTCTAATCAGATTAAGGGCATTTTTCTTCCACATATTGCAATAGCACTGGAGACTACACTGAGGTTTTAGGAAGGCCACCTGCTCTTCAGACCTTCTGCTCTGCTCACCTACAGGTTGGGATCTCAGCCAAAAGGAACTGTCTCCCTGTAGGTAAGGTGTGTGGGGGAGAATCCTGTTCTGTTAGTCAGAGAGTGTTTCAGACAAGGAGAGGTTAAGCATATCTTCACCTGATGCCAAACACCAGTTTTTCTATCCAACTTCCCAATTTTGAGAGTAACAAATCAGACCCACGTCCATTTCTTCACATTCACTAGGCTACAGCAGGCCCCAAAGAAGCCCTTTTCCAAAGTAGCTGTGGCATGGCACCTGGAGGAGCCCTTGCAGCAGGATGAAGCTCTAGGTACAGTAGATGAATCTGTGCACTTCTTCCCTTTTTCTTCAGTGCTCCAGTGAATGGTGACATTCTGTCTGATTGTCATTCTCCTTCTCATCCCATGTGGGTTGAATATCTATGCTCCCAAACTTGTGTTGATGTAATTGCCATTGCAACAATATGAAGAAGTGAGGAGTTTTAAGAGGTAATTGGGCATGAAGATTCTGTCTTCATGAAGTGTTGTGGTTTAGAAATGAGGTGTCTCCCAAAGCTTATGTGAGATAATGCGAGACGGTTCTGAGGTGAAATGACTAAAGTATTAAAGTTGTGTCCTGATTGGTGGGAAAATCCACTGATGTGGATTAACTGGGTGAAAATTGTAGGCAGGTAGCCTGATTGGAGGAGGCAGGTCAAGGCAGGTGGGCCTTTATTTTGTCTCTGGACAACAGAGCTCCCTCTACGTCCTGATGCCACGTTGTGAGCTGCTTTCCTCCACCACGCCCTTCCACCAGGATGTGCTGCCTTACCCGGGCCCAGAGCTAGGAGTTGACCATCTATGGACTGAAACCTCTGGAACCATGAGCCAAAATTAACTTTTCCTCCTCTACTTTGTTCCTGTCAGTTCTTTTGGTCACAGTGAAATAAAGCTAACAAAAACATGAAGGGATTAATGCTTTTATCAAAGGAAAGAGCTCCTCATGAAAGGACACATTTGCCCTCTCCCTTGCCCTACCCTACCTTCTGTTATCCTTCCACCTCTGCCATGAGTAAGCCTCACAAGATGCTGGCCCCTTGACTTTGGATTTCTCAGCTACTAGAAAAGTGAGCCAGTAAATTTCTGCTCATTTTAAATTTCCTTGGCTCAAGTATTTTGCTGTAATAGCACAAAACAGACACCATGTCTCCGCCTACTGTGTCTGTCCTGCCTGGGCTTCCTACCCAAAGACAGCAAAGAATATAAAAGGGGGAGTCCTATTACAGCACCTCTCTTAGGATCTCAGGCAAAACTTGGGAGACCTTGGAGGGCCTTCAGGGACACTACTTGCTTC